TTTAGTCAATGAAATTTTTATTACAATACAGGATTTTTGAATCGCCTTGTATTTTTTAAATTTTTTAACATTCACATTCATCGATGTAATATTAATGAATCACTATACAAGTGTAAAGCTTGCATTTTTATGTTTATTCAATAGTTACATTTTTGTCGTTTTTGCTTTATTAATTTTTCACATATTATATAAGGCAAGTATGAAAAGGATTCAAGTACAACTACAATATAAAATTTCTGATACGAACAGTCATATTTGCATATTTTATGGTGGTGTAAATAAAAAATAATAAACATTTTTACTTCTAATTCATTTTTGTCTTCTTAATGACCATTAAAAACAAAATTAAATACAAATATCTTCTGCCTAATTTCATATGTTTCAATATGCTCTTTAATTTTATTTGGTTAAACTACAAGTAGTACCTGAGGAACTTCAATGCCACCATTACCAGTACAGTTAGCAGACTCTGGCCAATCGCAGACCTTGTATTTTGCATTGAACTGCAATCCATGAGGACAGGGGATGACGTTAGCCTCGCCATGACTACATTGACAGAACAGATTGCAGTTTTCGTGGCGAAGATAGACACCCAAAGGTGGATCTTCTTCTGGACACTCGCCAATACAAAATTCTTCCGGAGGTGTTGGTTCCGGTATTGGTTCTTCAGTTGGTTCTTCAGTTGCTTCTTCAGTTGACTCTTCCGTCGGTTCTACTGTTTGTTCCTCAGTTGATTCCTGAGTTGGTGCTGCCGTTGGTTCTCCAGTTGATTGCTGAGTTGTTTTCTCTGTTGCTTCTTCAGTAGACCCTTCCGTTGGTTCTACTGTTTCTTTTTCAGTAGATTTCTGAGTTGGTTCTGTCGTCTGTACTTCAGTTGGTTTTGTTGTTGCTTTTGTTATCGGTTCTTCTGTTGACCTCTCAGTTGGTTCTTCAGTAGATTCCGGAGTTGGTTCTGCCGTTGGTTCTGCTGTTACTTCTGCAGTTAATCCTTCCGTCGGTTCTGCTGTTGGCTGTGGTGTTGTTTCTGGTTCTGGTCCTTCAGTTGACTTTTCAGTCGGTTCTGGTGTCGGTGCTGTAGATAGTTCTCGTGTGGTTTGTTCAGTTGATTCTGTCGTTACTGTTGGCGATGGTTTAGGTGGTAGGGTTGTCTCTGACGAGTTTGATTTGCTTGCTGGAGTCTCGATTTCCACTGGTGGTTGAGCCATCAAATTTGGAATTTCTGTTGTTGATTCTCTTATGGACTCAATGGGTGTTGATAAGTCCAAAGGTGAGGCGATGGTGATATGTATCACACCGATAAGGAAAACGAGGATGCGAAGGAGATCTGAAATAATAGGTCAACGTTATTCAAGTACGGGTGACAACTCTAAAGTGTCGATGGAGACTTTGGACGTATATTAAGTTTAGGAGAAATTATTTGCCCTATAAGTCTACAATAAGTAGTCTTTGCAAAGAATGACTTTGACTTACTCTTCATGCTGAAACGATTGTCGGCGATAGCACTTATTTCCACCCCACTCGGCTAGAAAAGTGGTTTATCGCGCGGAAATAAGGTCTCTTATAAAGTTGTTCCATCGTTATCGCCGAGCCATACCGGGAATTGCTTGAGTATTATCGATGCCGGGGAGTATTTGCACCCGAGCCACGTGTGCTCGGCGTTGAAAAGGATCATTCGGTGTTTTACCGCGTATAATATTTACAACTCCTGGTCTCACGATAAATTGCGGGGTGTTCCAATTTACTGCCGAAACTTTCATTTGCCTCATCGTGAAGTGGAATTATGATTAAAAAATAAAAAAAGGATATTTTTCAACGAGATAAGACAGTTTCTACGCGGTATTCAATGAAAATGATGTCGGGCTATTACGTGACGAGGAGCTCGACTGCTAGTCGTATACTAAAAGAAAAAGGAAGCTTTATTATCTTATCTCGCGAATGCCAGTTTCATTACACTGAACTTGACTTTGCGAGTATGAAACGAGACTTTTATTTGCTTCCAATTTTTTCTCGTTCAAAGCGAAGATTCCTTTATTGCAGATGGTTGTATGAAAGAAAAAAAAAAAAAAAAAATCCATAATGAGCTGAACAACTAGGTAGACACGAGCATTATAAGCCTGAGCTCTGAAGAGAGTCTACGCTGTTTACCGAAAAACTACGGATCTTGCTAAACGACGAAGTGTAACGTTCACTCAGGAAAATTTATGCTTCACGGGGCTAGATTTTTTTTTTCATCTACTTTCTTTTTTGGTGTATACACGATCGTGGAAGTATGCATTTTGCAATAGCTAGTTTTCATTTAACTTTTGTAAAAAAAATTGTTTATTTTACTTTACATATATACGTGGAAAAAAAAGAAAGAAAGAAACGTTGGTGAAGTAATTTATAAAACTGACGTAAAAGTGTGTGTACACAGTGACCTCGAGCAGGAAACGACGCGAGCGGCAAGTTTAATTCCAGATGAAAATGTAACCCAGTGCTCGTTTCTCCTTTTCGTCTTCTTCTTCTTCTTCTTCTTTTTCGCGTTACACTTGCACCGCGCTGCTCTCCACCCTTCAACTCCTTTTTTTTATCATCCTAATAGTAAATTTCACTGAAAATGAGATTTGCGAGTAGCACCCGGAAGATTAGCGACAAAAAAAAAGAGAACGAAAAACCGAGTGGCCTTGCATGTTTCAGGACCACCTGTGCTTTTCCCTAGTTTTTTTAATTTTTGTTTTACTTTCTCGCGTCAACCCACGCTCCATCTGAATTAATTTTCAAACCCGAGAGTTTTCTCACTTGGTACGATAGATTATGTACACTTGGACTTGTGAGAAAATTCCTTTTTGACTTTTTTTCGAGGGACATCTGGTATTTCGTTAGAGGACAGGTAAACGGGGGGTGGGGATAACGATCTTTCAGGATGATTAATTACTGCTGGGTTAAATTTTTCTGTAAATAAAAAAGTGTGAGTTTGTGTATGAAAAAAAAAAAAAAAAACTTTTTTTCGTCAAGGAAAAATGTTACTAGGTGCTCATGGAAAGTGCGATTCAAGTGCCAATCCAATTGTTTGCTTACGAAAACGTACAGGAAAACTAACAAGTTATGTTTATGTATACTTTAAATAGTGACAATCAGCTAGAGAGTTCAGAGTTGGTAATCTGTTCATGAGATTTTTAGCAAAGACAAGAAACAAATGAGATTGTAAACAGGTGAAATAAATAATGTGGTACATTGGATATGGGAATTAATGAAAATTCGACTGAGAATTATCAGTTTGTACTGACGAAAACAACGCTTATTAAAATTCATACGGTTTGTTTTAAAAAATAACTTGAATCGTTTTAGTCCTCAATAATGTAATGAATATCTAGGAAATGTCTTTGGTAGCGTGTATTCATTTTGGCATAAAATTAATGTTTCTATAAGTCTAATGTTGTGTTCCCACGTCTAATTTCCGAAAGTATAGATGGAACTCTGTATACACATGTATTTTTATGACATTTATCAACGTTGTATCGAACGTTTGATTGATCACTATTTGTTTCACATGTTATTATCTTTATTTTTTTATTTTTTTTTTTTTAATATCTATTTTTTTTAGTATCACTATTTATTTTTAACATGTTTGCTCATAGAGATAATATACCTGAGTAAGCCAATACAGCACACCCACAATTACAAGTATGCCCCTCTTCCTACTCACACGCAATTGCACCAAACTTGGTTCCTCCACTTTTTTTCTGGCGCAAACCAAATTTTGAGCTTCGCCCAGATACGTAAGTGCCTCTCCTCTCATCCCTTTGAGAGCGAGTTGGCCTCCAAAATTCTTTTTTATTTTCCATCATTTCCCTCTTACTCTCAGGCATAGAGCTCTCAGGTGCCTTTTGTCTTCTAGGGGTAGTAATTTTAACAGATTGACCCCGTGGGGGAGGTTAGTTTTTAGTCGGTCGTCACCTGGGTAAATCCGACTTTACCTCTCGCTTCCCAACCAAGGGTATCTTCTGAAAACTTTTCCTCCTCGCCCCTTAAAAGAGGAAAAAAAATTAAGTAAGAGTGTTAGTGTCATGAATAATGTAAAAGCTATTTTGATACTTTAAATATTCTTGAAGTAATTGAATATTTCGTTAAATTATGATAGTCTATAAGTAGAAATTTCGACCAAGTTTTGTATTCTGCTTGTGGTGCTTTAAGTCAGACAAAAGATAAGTCTTAAGGACATTGCCCTGTTTATGTAAATGGTAATTATAACAGAACTAATTAAAACTTGACGTATGGTGGATAAGAGTCTCCTCAACCTACACACNAATAAAAAACAATTAGTTTTCTGAGTGTAAAAATATAAAGAAAATATTTTTAAACGACAGAAAAACGGATTCAAGATTTACTTTTTTTGGTATGGATAAGAAAAGTTTTAAATCTCTCTGACACACATTTTTTTGTATTCCACGTACTCATCTAAGATACAATATTTATGGTTGAAATAGCAGGAAATCCAAAAAAAATAATTAGAAACAGTTAAATACAAGTGATGGTAGTCAAATTTTATTATGTAATGCAGTGCAAGATGCAGTTTGAAGTACAAAAACTGTGGATGACAAAAAATATTCAACCTTTCAATATTATTATGAACGAAAAGCATTAAACATGTCATAAAATTAGTTTCTATCGACTTGTTTAATATTTTTCTTATGTAGAAAAAGTTATTGATCTTTAAAAAACATTACTATTAGTTTTCTTTAGTTTTAGGAGATTAAGTTAACGTAATATATTTTAATAAAACTTTTTAAAATAAACATAGTAAATTAAAATAATGAGACATGTAAAATTAATAAAAAATAATAGTACAAGATTTTTTTCGCGTATTGTACATCATTGACGTTTAAACGTGATGTGAATGGTGGCAGTCTCGCTTTTTATAGAATAACGCAGATATTTGCATAAAAGTTACTTATTACTATTCTTATCATAGATTTTATTCGATAAATATAATTACAAGTGTAGAATGGAAATCTGACATGCAATCGTATGCTATCGAGTGAGATAACAATCGGCTAATCCAATCACAACTATATCATACATATACGACGAGTTTTCTTTTAAACACACTTGTAGTCTTTCGTAAACTATTACTCGCTAATTATACTAGTTAGTTATACAGTATTATTACTGTTCCGATAATTTACTCTTTTAAGAGTAAGTATCTAGTTTTAATGAAATACAATATTAATCATTAATATATATGTACATGTATAATTATTTTTTTTAATCAAGTGAAAAACAAATCATTAAAATTCGATATGCCCAAAAAAATACTAGTTGGACGAAACTTTATCCTTACGCTGACATTCGCATCCATTAGGAACTCGAAAAGATTTTATTTTAAAGTCACTGATGTCGAACTGTTGCTTGTCGGTGGGTAGAACCAAAAGTTTTTCTTTCCTATACGTTTGTCGACACGTTGCTAAATTGAACTCGAGATTATTGTTGCACTGATTACCAGAGCTTGAAGTAATAAAAAAAAAAAAAAAAAAAAAAAAAAAAAAAAAACAAAAGTCTCGAAATTACATTACTTTCGTACACCGAATCACCGATTTGTTTTTTTACAGTATGAGTATCATACCAAATCGTCTTACTCGATAGTCCATATATATTATACACGGCGCGGTATTATTTTATTTAAATCGAGCCGGTTCGACATACATGTATTTATCAGCCTCCCCAGCATTGCTATAAACAATGTCCCACAACTAAAAATAGTTAAAAAAATCGAACAAACGACAGGTACCGTATATACATAAAGAGGCCGTACTACACGGCCATCAAGTGGACGGCGTACTCGGACCCGTTCTACCCCGGGATCTGGACGAGTCTTCTGATAGTCATCGCCCTGTCGAGCGCGCTCACCCTCATGGGGTGCAAGACGCTGCAGTCGGTGCAACGGTCCGTTCCACCGGAGCGTAGAAACGAGGCGAGCCTCGAGCTCACCGAAACCGTCTTCCACACGTTCGGGGCACTCTGCGCCCAAGGTATATCCCCGTTTGACCAATGTATGGATAATCGATACATGTAACGTCGTATACGTGCAATTCAAGGTCACGACTCGGTGAACATCGACTCGATACGTATCATCAATTGGGTGGTGCACATGACCGGGGCCATCATCCTGGCAGCCTACTCGGCGGCTCTCATCAGCTTCCTGGCGATCAAGGTCTTCGTCATGCCGTTCACGTCGATGGAGGGCCTCCTCAACGATGGAACTTACAAGCTCACCGTCATCGTCGACTCGGCAGACTACGGTTTCTTCGAGGTACCATACATATTTTATTTATTTTTCTCCACCTGTTGGTGGACACTAATTAATGGTGAAACAGTTTTTCATGTACAACACATTGCGCGAGCTTTTTGCTCCGTTATTGGCTGCCCCGCAGTAACTATTATACTGCGTATATACATATATATATGTGAGTAGCGGTGAGTCGCTGTACCGCAGCATCCGAACGTTTTGCCATTTTTCTTTATTCTCGNTTTAAAAAAGAAAAAAAAAAAAAAAAAAAAACTATTACCTTCAAGTAAAGCAACAGACCCTAATTCGCCACTA